GACCTGGATGCAGTACTCCAAGTGAGGCCTCAGAAGGGCGGAGTAGAGGGGGGACAATAGTCCCCTCCCTTAACTGGCTGGCCACTCCTCTGTTGATGCAGCCCAGGATGCAGTTGGCCTTTTGGCCTGCAAGTGCACGCTGCTGGTTCATGTCGAGCCCTTTGTCCACCAGAACTCCCAAGTCCTCCCCTGCAGGTCTGCCCTCAATGAGTGCTTCTCCTAGTCTGTCCTCGTATCTGGGATTTCCCTGACCCAGGTGCAGCACCTTGCACTTGGACTTGTTGAACCTCATTAGGTTCACATGGGCCCACTACTCCAGCCTGGAACTTCACCTGAAATGCAGAAGGAAAAAAGAACGTTACACTTTCTTACCAGTATCAGTTCTAAATACTTCCAATGAAAAGTTATACAAAAAAGTTATAAACATTATGTGGGGTGCTTTTTAACCCAAGTAACAAAGATCTTCCTTGTACTGTATCCTTCACTATAAACAGGCTAGGAGGAGGAAGAAATACGTCCACACTTTGCAGACTGACAACTTGGCTTACTGAGAAAAAGCATATTGCCTGTCTTAAAAACTGAAATTCAGATTCCTTTCTCTTTTCCTCTTCTGTCGACAGTGCAGCAGCAGATTTAAATACATCTAAATGAACAAGATCTACATACATCTTGCATTATCTAGTTGGTGTTCCTTTGTTTTTCTATTATTTATCCCTGTAGATCGATTGTTCACAGATCATGTTACACCAAATTTACTGTGCATTTATTAACTTTAAATTTATTAACTCTTTTGAGACTAGAAATACTTCTTGCCTTTAGTTTTCATTAGTTTAATTAGCTATCATAAATTAATTTAGCTGTTCATAAATGAAAGGAATGGCATATGTGAAGTCTGAAAGTATTCCTATAATTTTATACCTCTTTTTGCTTTATAGTCTTGGCCATATTGCCAAAGGCTCATTAAGGTAGTGAAGATTAATTCTTCCCCTCCTACAGACATGATTTCTTCAAAACAGTGCTGCTGTGCATTCAGAAGAGATACTATGGGGCAAAAGCTCAGCCAGGTGTTTCAGATCTCTGGATAAGGTTTCCATCTTCCAGACTCTCAGCCATGAAAACAAAATCTTTTAACTGATTGATTTCATTTATTAAAGATAATAATCAAAGCTTCAAGCAGCCTGGAAACCATGTTACCTTCTCAAGAAGAAAGAGGACATTCTGGTATTTCATAAGCCGTCGGTGCTTGAGAACTTGAACTCATTTCCTTAGAACTGCTATGAGATGATCCCCTTACTGCAGCAGTAGCTTTCAAATAAATATCTGACTGAAATCACAAAGAACTCATCATTATTACAGCAAAACTTTCTTAAACACTTGCTGAAGAAGAGCTTAAATGTTTGCCCACTATGTTCTATTGCCACTGTTGCTGTATTGCTGCTAAGTTAACTACAGCTGGCAATAAAAAGGCTATCTCACTGTAAATGTGGAGAACTTCTGTGATGTTCAGAAGAGCATTTGCCCTGTAAATAATCAAATACTTCAGCTCTGCATTACTGCAAACAATAAAGGACAGTTAGATCAATTCTGATTCTCACTGTACTCACTACAAGCTAAGATCAGACAAATTAACAGTTAATGCAAATCAGAAAATGTGTCAGTTTTGGTTTGGTTTGGGCTTCAGCAACTCTTTATATGAATTAGGTCCCAACACCTCACAAATAGTCAAACATGCTTTTCTCGTGTCTTACCCTTGATGCTACAAGCTGAAGCTCAGGCACAACTGCTGTGTGGACTAAGTTTCCACTCACCACTAATCGGATCTCAATGGAATCAGTAGTGAAGGCAAGGATAGAAGGGAAAGCACAGACTGAAATGAAACAAAAATTATTTTTCAAGGAAGAATGATTAATGTAAATGTTTCTCAGATGCTCCCTGAAAACAATTCTTGAGTATCTGACCTACTCTGGTATCTCCCTTTCCTATGACAAAATTTGTCTACTGTACTGATGGACATTCAGATACAAGCCTGAAGAAAACGTCACTCTCCATGCCTGGCAGAATATAAACTGAATGGAAAATAAAAAACAGAAAAAAGAGAAAGGAAAAAACAAGTTTATCAGAGGAAAAACTTGGCCCCAAGGCTCTACTTATTAAAGATACCATATGCAGAATCTTAGCTGAAGTGGCATCATGAATGCAATACGCTTAAGAGAATCACAGAATCATCTAGGTTGGAAAAAACCTTCAAGTCCAACAATCAACCTGACCTACCAAGTTCCATCGTTATGTCCCTTGGTGTTGCAGGAAGCACGGCTGAAAGCACGACAGACACCAGTAGAGTCAGACCATGCTCCATTTTATTGCCTGACTAGCCTTTTATAGTGAACTTAACAGGGGTGGATAGTGTTTCACACAAAATTATTGGTCAAAAGCGCTCAGACAAACAACTACAAGAAAACAACCCCACCTGCAAGAAAACAACCCCTCTTGTGATTAGCAGTCACGTAGACCTTGACCTTGAAGCCAGAGGCTGGTAACAATATTTTTCTAAATTCCTCAATTGGCCGATGTGGGAACACTGTCATGGGAAATTCTCATAGTTGCCCTGGTAGCTTGGTTTGCTCAGCTGCAGCAAGCCATGGGATTTTTGCTGTTTCAAAAAATCCTTCAACACCTTGGTGTTATGTCAACACCTCTCCAGGGATAGGGATTCCACCACTTCCCTGGGCAGTCCATTCTAATGGTTAACCACCCTCTCCATGAAGAAATTATTATTTATAGGAATTTATTAACCCATATTTATTAAATTTTATTATATTAAAAACAGATTTATGTATGTTACATTATTTTTAATTTTATATTTATTCTTATATATTCCTAGCACACATTCTGCAATTCTACCAACAGCCAAGTGCAAGCCTAAATAGTAATGAAAAAAGGGTAAAAGAGGTATGTTCTTACCAACAGCATAAGGAACTTGACTCCAGCTAAATTGAAAGTTAGTTTAAAAGTTAGAAAGTTAGAAAGCCGATGACTGGACAAGTGGAGAACCTCCATTAAAAGGATACACCTTTCTATATTGGCAAACATCTGTAACAAAAAAAAGGAAAAAAAGAAACCTCCAATATCTTACAGCACAAATGACAAACACCAACATTATAGGTAGATTTTACAGAAGTGTGGATAATACACAGATAAATATCAAACACTTATGTAGAAGTCCCTCTATATCTAAACAGACCATAAGGGAAATGTGCAAATATCAAACACTTATGTAGAAGTCCCTCTATATCTAAACAGACCATAAGGGAAATGTGCTTCCTTTGTGAATACATTTACAAGATAAAAATAGTAGAGCTACATTTTAATAACTCGTCAGATTTCACAAAGTAAGTATTGTTCTGTTTCAGCAATCATCAGCTCCTTACTTTGTCTATGGATAGAGGAATAGTTAAGAACATTTCTGAAAGTGATGTAAGCAGAGCTGTACCCCTCTGACTGTAAGAAATACCCTTCAAGCAGCCACATACTAGCACAGTTTGTGTTCTTTGAGGATTGTAATACACATGGGATACTACAGATACCAAGATTTCATTAATCATATAACTTGTGAATCTACTACTTCTCTATTTTTAGGTAAAATCCTTTTTTTTTTTTTTTTTTTCCTGTAATTGGTGTCCTTAAACTTAAACTAACTTTATATCCACAAGTGTAAAAAAAAGGTCTTGTTTGAAACCCAAACTTAGAACACTGTCAAATCATGTGTTTTCATACTTGTTCCATGATGATACTTTCATAATTGTAAAACTGTCACAAGACCAAAAGAGGTTTCCCTGTGACAGGGCCCTACAAATAGGGATTCAAGTTGCTGCAACCCTGTGCAACAGGCTTTAGGACCTTAGGATCAACCAAGTTTGTTAGCTTTGGCTCTGTGACGAGCCTACTAGAGTAGGACTGATTCTGCACAGAAGTACAGGTTTGGGAATTCACACTACTCTGTCTCAGACCTTTTAGTTCTTAAGCAGTACTGAGTGAGCCAGAACTAGGTAGGATTTGTTAAACTACCGAAACCAATGAGGCCTCACAGAGCATACAAAGATACGCTTTAGAGACTTTTTCCCTGTAGTACCAATCTAACGGCCAATGCTAGAATACGTAGATGTATTTATCCTGTTTCCATCAATGCTCTCTTTGGAAAGGCAAATAGGACATACCATCTGAAACAGAAAGCTGTGCTTTGTCCTTCAGCATCACCTCATAAAGGACGTTTCATACTCATAACTTTGATTTTCCTGAGGACTGAAAGCAAAACTACATGTGTACAGCACAGAAGAGCATATGCATATTAAATCCAAGGCCGTTTTATAAAAAGAGATTAAGAGAGTTACAATTTTAAAATGTGCCAGCACAAATAAGTGTGCAGAAGGAAAGAAAGCACAATGACAGAATGGGAAAGCACAAAGAAGAAAACGGATGGAATACTAATTTGTACATGTCCTAGAAACACCCAGTGTGAGACTAGGCAAAGAATAAGATAGATCTGAAGAAATAGGACTTTTGTGAGTAAGATGGTAACGGCTGTCCAATTACACACACCACAATAAAGCAGTACTTCCATTTCTAGTCCTTCTAATATGCACTTAAATTGAAAAAAAAAAAAAGTATTTTGGAATACTTTCCATGAAACACTGAAACTTTAAAATACACATCTAAACTCCAATGAAGAAAGAATTACATGTTGAGATATTATCATTTCCAGTCTTTCCTAACTACTTACAGTTATAACATAACAGTAGGCCAGCTTCACCATCTTCATATACATCAACAGCTGCAACAAAATTTACCTGCAATGATAACAGGAAAGGGTAATGATCAGGCAGATAAGATACAGATGTTACTATGACCAGGTTTTGACTAAGAAGCAATCAAATCAGTTGGTGCATAATTACAGATAAAAGAAAAAAAAATATTTATTTTTTGTGATTCATTTTCAGGATGCTGATAGGATGGAAATCAATTTCTTTTGTATTCAATGCTGTATTTCAGTAATGCATATTCAATTTTGTAACTTCAGTATAAATACATACCTACAGTATAAAATGATACAAACATACCTAACTTACTTGACAATATAAATTTTGGGAAACTGAGTTATTTCAGGGTAGCTTTGAATTAACATGCTATGCTAAAAATAGCAATTCTTTCCAAAAAGTGAAATCTAAAAAGCTCGACTGAAAATCTTGACTAGCAGAAAGATCAAAAGTGCCAATTACTGGATCAAAACCACTAACAGGTACATTGATTGATGTGGATGTACTTCAAGAATTACTGAATAAGCTGAATTTAGAAACTGAGAACCACTGCTGGATAAACTAAAATGGTTTTTGCATAGCATAGGCTACTTATATTCTCATACTTTAATCCTGTATTTGTCTTTTACAGTTAAATTAAAAGAAAAACAAGACACCCATAAGTATATACATTCAGAAAAGGAGACCTCCCTGATGAAATACTTAAGACTGGATTAGACAAATGTCTCCTAGACCACATTATTTGCTACTTGGGCAGGGCTGGAGATTGACTTCATGAACTTCATGGCTTTCCTTTGTGCAATAAAGTAGGTGTTCTCTTGATTTAAGACAAATATAAGGCAAGAACTGTTAAACAGATCTGGAAGCTTATATATATCTATACAAAACACATTTTGACCTATCCTTTGTAGCAACTGAAAGACATTTCTGCTTTGTGACCTGTGGAAATAATTTGGTAACCAATTTCAACAACACAAAAATCACTGGCACAGGTCTAATTAACTTCCTGCTTTGTCTGTGTTCTCAAAGGAAATAAGGGTTACTGGGGAAGAGAACAGAGGGGGGCGATTCTTGACTGTCCACATTCTTTAATTGTATTTCCTTCTTAATCCAGATTAAAATGGATTCCCATTGCTGTGGAGAATCTTAACACTGTATTGCCAATGCTAGGTGTACCAACCCTCTTCATCATCAAATCTGAATAAAAACACAGATGATTTAAAAAAAAAAATCAACAAGAAGCATCAAATCAAAAGAGACGTCCCTTATACCATTATGAGCAGAGAAGTCAACAGAACACGAGAGTAACCCTGTAAAAGGTTCTTTTTTTTTTTTTTAAATTACACTTAAAGCTATACATTCACATCCATATTAAGAAATTATTGAAATTATTTGATTTTCAAAATGCTGAAGATCCTTATCTTCCCAGCAACAGGAAACATTTGAACCCTTTTCCAAAAATCAGGATGTTTACTTAAATCCCAAGCCTATGTCCCAGTTAGTAAGATACAGTTAATGTATTACTTGGCTGGGCAGCAGTTTAGAACTAAAAGATATACGCAAATATTTCAGTTTTAGTACATGCAAATAGGCAAATCTGAATGAGATAATGGTGGCCAAAACCTGAAATTATTTTGCTGCAACCTCCTAAAGAATAAAACACTGAGACCATGAAGAAAAGACAAAAATCAAAATATTGACTGAGAAAGGAGAAAAAATGGCTTTGCATTTATACTGACAGCAATATTCCAGAGCTTGAAACACAGGCTCTTTCCTAATATATCATACCTTATAACTACCTCTCTTAGGAGTGATTATTATCACACATTCCAAAAGGAAAAAATGCCTCAGATTACTCTAAAGTAGAAGTTAAAAAAGTGAAAAGTAAAGGAGACGAGAGGATCTCCGTAAATGCTGCTCCCAGGAGGTCAGCACAGCATGGACCAATTCTGCAAGAAAATAGTTTAAATGCTATAAATTTACTTTGTTTGCTTCAACATGATGCAGTCTATAGGACTCCCCAATACTTTCATTAACTAAATCAAACTGATGCCGATACGCCACACAGATCATATCGTCACTGTCTCCAGTCGGTCCATCCACCAGTGTCATAACCACTGGAGGGTCAGAAAGGCATATTTCCTATGAGATAAATAATAGTATTATTCTATTTTTCAGGCTCTTAGTGTGAATATTGCATTACTCCATGAATTTACAAGGATGTAATCTAAGCAGAGAAGCATGATACAGAACAAGATTACAATTTAAGAAGTCTGAAATATTTCTTTGGCATATCAATGATGGATCTCACTTACATCTGTCTGGAGGTTGCAGACGATAAAATGCACGCTCTTTGCCTTTTTCCTCCACTAGCTGAGTGCTGCCCAGTCTGTAAAAGTGATTAGTGGTTAGATTACACATACCCAGATGTACTGGAACTCGTCTACTGGAGATTCAGGTAATGACAGCAGAGAGCTGCTGGTTAAACTGTTGCATGGATTGTATTTCTTTGTGATGAGAAGTAGTTTGTTCCGAATAGCCACAACAATCCTCAGTTCACTGCCATGGCGAGTATTAATGGCATACAAATGGCAGCCTAAGAAAAAAAAAAACAATTTAGGTTGTAAGTATTTGGGGTAAAGACTGTTTTTTTTTATTTTTTTTATTTTTTTATTTTTGTTCTGTATTTGTATGATGGTTAGTACAATGGGTATCTGATACCTGAGCACCACACAATTACAAACATCCCAACAGGATAATATTAAATTCTAGAAAAAGACAAGAGGCAGGAACTCTTTTGAAAACAATTTTCCCCCTTACTCCTTTTGCAAGTAAAAGAGTAAATATGTTTTTTTCTTTACTATTCTGCAGTTTCCAGCTTTCCAAGGAAGCTTGATGCTGAATATCGGAAAATGTTTACATCTACTAAAATAATCTGCAATACCCAAACTATCCTAAGCATTACTAATTAAAAAAGATTTGCCATTGTTCTTCTACCTCACAGTGACCTTTATTTCAGTCTTACATCCATGCATAATTTTTCTTACACCCCTCAATCCTGAAAGCAACATATCTGTTTTTCACCAGAGCTTTTAATCAGCAGTGATTGCCAAGTAACATGGTGTTTTTTTACCAAGTTCTCAAATGATAGGCTGGACTGTACCCTATGTTATTTTCACACATAAGCTTAAAGTTTGAATTAACTGTCCAGGGATAAAACTAAAGGTGAATACCTACAACAGCCTCAAGGGAGCTAATAAACCCTGGCAACTACTGGCACAGTACCACAGTGGACACTTTTAATACAAGATAATAAAGCTACCTTTTGTTCTCTCCAATTTATTTTCTCTGCAGTCATATTTGCTTCTTATCATCTGCTTTGTTTCTTTATCTTTTTGGACAGCACTCAATCTGAAGACAAGGAGACAAGAGTCTTTTCCTGAAGATGGAGAAAGTCAGGAAACAGCAAATTAGAAAAAGACAGTGGTGGTTTGAAATTAATACTTCCAAAGAGATGAATTACCTAACAGACAGCATTGCCATAAAAGCAAAGTTAAACAATTTTGCTTCTCTGAGTGTAAGCAGCAATGTGACAGGAAGACTGCTTGTGAACTCTATCTAGACTCTACAGTTCCAGTAAGCAACCCTTTCAGTTCACTAGCAGAGTTTCCCATCAGATGGTGCTGCAGCAATAAATAATAGGAGCCTCAAAACAGTGAAACCTACACTGCTAGGAGATGGTGAAAATACGACAGATACAAACTAAAGGCAAGAGAAGAAGGGTTAACTTTAAATTCTGGAACCATCCAGCCTAGCAGCTGATACCTGGATCCTTAACAGAGTCTGAAAACTTTTTGGATGCGGACTGGTTTTGCTTATCAGTTCTTCAAAGTTAGGCAAGTTAGGTTCAAGGCATATTCCAACTACAAAAATAGCACAGCATCCACCACCACGGCTAAACGTTTTTTTCCACAAAGATAGACATGAGTGGAATACACAACTCTGAGATTTAAAATAAATAAATAAATAAATGATACACTACTATTTGCAGTTGGAAATAAGCCATTGTTAAGAGTAGTTTCTTAACTAAAAGCCAAGTTTCTTAAAATGGAAGTAAAACAAGATTTTCTGACAAAAGTATACTCTCTTACTAGTCTAGCTGGTATAGCTGGAAACATAAGCACGCTTTCTTAATATACATGTATAGTCAGTGTGGATCCAACCATAAATACAAAAGCAAGATCACATGTGCTGCCTCCAATTCTGATAATAGATAAACATGAATCCAGCTTCTGGAACCTTTATGACCTTCTTTTCCCATAGAAAGTGTAAGAGAAAAGAAGATGCAATGTTTCCTTAAGTCCACCACAACTTGAAACACTGATCAACCAGCAAATTCTTACTGTCAACACCGATAAAAGGAAAATGAAATATATGCAATCTCTCTCTTTTCAAGAACGTACATACAAGAATGCGTGCTTCCATGAATGAGTTCATGGAGGAAGAATGGCAAGCAAAATTCACCCTTTTGAAAGGAAGGCTAGAAAACATAAGCTAAATCAAATGTTCAAGAACAGCGTTACTACTCATTAATTCAGCTCTGTCTCTTTGTCAGGTGTGTCCTATAGGATGCATCCTAGAGATTGCACTCCTCAATGCGTTCCTCTTTCAGGATACTAGTTGTTTTACAAATGTCCCAAATAACCCCACTGCAGTGTTACATCTGTGGCTGCTCATGAAACTGACTATCATCCAAGCTTTTCTTTGGTGTCGTTTTTTTTAAGAGAGTTTTTCTTCACCTCCTACAGACTTGATTATTCCAAGTGAAGGAGCTCTTCCTCCTTCCCCCTCACCATGTCTAAGTGTTTCACAAAATAAGTTGTAGCAAAAAAATAAACAAACATGTTTGGAGGACAAAGTGGATCCACTTCTATAACTCATCTCTCATTATTAAGTCAAATTTAATTAACATTAGAAAAGAGAGCACTGCTACCAAAGCAATTTCTGCATCTGTCATTAATACCAGATGAATTGTTGGTGCCTGAAATACCCCCTTCTTTTGGTATGCTGACCTGAAAAATCTCATTGATAGCATTATCTTCAGTTCTAGTTTCACTGTTAACATTTCCTCTCTCCCAGAAATGCAGAGGGTACTAGAAAGCAGTAGAAACAGGATTTTCTTCTGAAATGAGCTACCTTAAAGTGATCTCAAACCTGGTTGTTAGAACTGAGTGCTGGATAATACCACATTCTATATGAACATTTTCATAACACAAACATCAGTCTTTCTGTTTGAGTCTTAAAATACCAGTTCTACATCGATGCACTTGAAGTACATCAGAAGGACGCATTTAAAGTACATACAAAATTAACCTTTTAATATATTATTGTATCCTAAAAACCCATATAGTCTTTAATACCAATTTGTACACCCAATATAAGATTGCTTTTACCCATCTAACATTTAACTAGACTAAGGCATAGTCTGAAAATAAAGGGCAATGATAACTTCCACTCCAGATCTCAGTTTCATTATGGTATACAAATACAAAACAAGAGGCAAGGATACTAGCAAGAACAAAAGACCTTTCTCTCCTCTAAATGATTCAGAAAGCACCCACAACAGCAGTCAAAAATCTCTTCAACTTTTTACACAAAAACTCTTTATCAAAATATGCTTGAAGCATCATGAATTGATGCCAGTAATGCCTAATCCTGTTACCTCAAAATGGCTTGTAACATCTCTCTCTTCAGGTTTAACCAATCATCACAGCGTTTTGACTATTAAATGCAATTATCTATTCTAGAAGTTTCATAAACTACGCTTCAGATACAACTACCCTTTTCAGATCTTCAAAAATGTCACCCACCCGCCAGGTGTCTTCAGAGATGACTGCAAATGCCTCTCAGGTAATCTCAGCTGGTTCTGCAAGGGTTCCAGGATGAATTTCATCAGGTCCAGCCAAAATGGGCAACTCCCAATGGTATGAAAGGAACCACATTTTACCCTTAGCTTGGGTAAATGTCACTTCAGCTAATATTGAGCAAACAGACATAATGTGGTAAAAAACAATAAAACAACCATATTTCTAATTATTTTATCTGTGTTACACATACAGATCCTGTTCTTGCACTGTGCGTATTCACTTCACAGACTTTTGGGTAAAAAGTACCTAACTGAAAAAGTGCATATTTTAGGGACATTTAATCCTTTTGAAAAGAGGGTAAAAAAAAAAAAAAAGTTGTTTGGACAGACGGGTTTTAAGTTTTGTTTTTTTTTTTTTTTTTAATACCAGAATATTTAAGAGAATATAATCTATAGCACTAGAATGTGGTTACACATCACAGAACAAAAACCAGTAACACATTTGGTAGAACAGTGACAGCATAAGTAATTTCCTCCACGTTTTTGTACAACTGAACAAACACATTATTCAGCTAGGGAGATTTCCAGAGTGTTGAGTTCTAAGAGTATCTGGAGACCAACTATATACTGGTGGATGACAAATCTGACATGAGCCAGTAATGTCTACCTTCAGCCCAGAAAGTTAATCATATCCTGTGCTGCACAAAAAGAAGTGTGGTCTAGAAGGTCGAGGGAAGTGATACTCCCCCACTTCACACTGCCCCTGTAAGATACAACCTGGAGTACTGTGTTCAGCTCAGGTGCGCCCAGCACAAGAAGGACATGGACCTGTTAAAGTGGATCCAGTCTTACCACAAAAATGATAAGAGGGCTGGAACACCTACAAGAAAGGCTGAGAAAGCTGTGTTCTTTTAACCTGGATAAAAGAAGGCTCTGAGGAGACGTTATTGTGGCCTTTCAATACTTAAAGGAGGCTTATAAGAAAGAGAGAGAGAGACATTTTACAAGGGCACGTAGTGACAGCACAAGGCGTAATAGTTTCAAACAGAAAGACGGTAGATTTAGCGAAGAATTTATTCCTTTTATCTAATCTATGAGAGTGGTGAGGCACTGGAACAGGTTGCCCAGAGAAGATGTGGATGTCCCATCTCCTGAAGTGTTCAAGGTCAGGCTGGATGAGGCTTTGGACAACCTCATCTACTGAAAGATGTACCTGACCATGGCAGGGAGGTCAGACTAAAAGGTCTTGAAAAGTTGTTTCCAACCAAAACCATTTGATGATTCAATATGGCCAGTTTCAGGTTTGCTCTGAAGCATGATTCTGAGCATCTAGAGATTTTTTTCCACACCTTTTAGAAAAACAAGCAAACAAACAACAAACAGTACTTGTTGCATGCCCTCCCTTATTCTAAATGAGGCATCTAATGCACTTGCCACTGATAAAAACATGATTACCTCAAGACACTTACAAACCCTAAAGCCATAGGGCATGTACGTAAGCAGCCCAGGGGAAATCAGCAAAGGGAAAGTAGTGGAAAGATCTGAAAAGGAGAACAATAAACTCAGAGCTCAAAAACCTAATTACAATAATTAAGAATAGCTATGTGATGTGACAAAAGGACAAAAGGTGATTATATAAATCTAGTGCTGTGGGAATTAAAATTCTACAGCATGCTTCCAAGTTAAAAAACAAAAACAACTCTTAAAGAAAAGCACCTAAGGCATTCCCTTCTACTGATATGTCTGCCAAATAAACAGTTAAACAGACATTCAAATAAGAACCAAATAACAAGGACTTTTCCTACTTTCGTCTGTTTGGGCAATCAAAAGATCCAGAGCTTCCAACACATGCATCTGCTTTATTTGGAGAGTTTTATCAAATACTTGAACTGATGGCTGACCATCTAAAAAAGAAAACACACGCATTTCTTTAAAATTCTGCTAAAATTTGGTAGTCAATGGTTCTGAACTATTTCTTTCTAATAAAATAAGTCTTGTTTTTTCTCATGAAAATGAAACATTCTGCACAAAGCTCATATGTATGCTGCAGCATCATAACCAGTACTTCCTTATAGGAGTGTTTTATCATTCCCATGGATGAAATTATGCAACTGAAGCCTGAAAGGGACCTTTCTTTCCAAAGTCTGAAAATTTTCACTGATAACTAACTTCATTCCCTTAGTCCCAATGGCCTTATGTGGCACACAGAAGATAAGAGGTCAAACTAGTAAAAGCACTGCTATGGAAGAAACAGGCTTTCATCACCACATAAGCCTTGTGCTTCATGTTCATTAGTATCATCAAGGGCTAAAAAATCCAGATGCTCCTTGAGTTTGGGTTTGACTTCATAAATCTTTTCAGATGGCCACGATAACAGCATCTGAAATAACAAAACATTCAGAAATCTGCATGAAAATTGGCTCCAAATAAGAATTCTGATGCAGAGAAAAAATCTGCAGCTAGATTACATAAATGTAATAGATTCACTTGGATTTGTACTCTCCTTGCAGGTGAGGACTTACCAATTACCTAAACAGAGCTTATGAACATTTATTTTGAAGAAAATGGTCAGATACATAAATAATTGACACAAGAACACAGCATCATTTACTAACCATCAATTAACAAGATGCCAGCGTCTGTAGAAACCAGCAAGGACTGGCCCCAGGAATCTGCACAGACAACTTCATGAGGAAAATTACTGCAGAAAGATTGGGACTCCCAAGGCTATGATGTAACATAAGGGATACATATTAATTATACTAAGAAATACTGATCATATAGACACGAATGAGATGTGACATGTAAGAACACGTAAATACTTTTGGCAGGGTACATTTCTTAAAAGTATATTTTTTGAATTTGAAATAACAAAATCTAATTAATTTTCTTGCAGAGAAATACTCTCTCTACCAATTGGATTTGGAGACTAATAAGTATGATACACTCTTGGAACACTGGAATTAAAACCCAAGCAGCTGATATTCAGTGCAACCCTGGAAATTTCTTATTAAACAATTAAAATACAGACTTAAAATATATGCACCACCATGCATATACAGTTTGATTTCATTTCATGGTTCATTTGTGATATTTAGACATGGTACTGCTAAAACTACCTTTCCCCCAAAATGTTCTTTTGTCATGTGTTCTCTGTACTTACCTCCTAAGTTCTGTCCCCTCTCCCCTCTCTTCTCTAATATTAAGTATTAAGCTGCAGTCTTAAATTCTACAAGCACTTCTGAAGTTTCTATATATAAGATGCACCTAGAAAAGTGTAATTTACATTTTTCACTCCTATGCCTTGTAAAAAAAATGTAGTTACAGGAAATAAAAACACAACTAAATTTTGCTTTAAACTTGATAAAGATGTTAAAATAATCAAAAGATGATTGGTTATGGAAAATATTATGGTTTTTTGTTTTGTTTTGTTTTGTTTTGTTTTTTTTTTCTTTCATGAAATATGATCAGATATAAAAATATCCAGACTTGCATTATCATGAGAAGTACTACTACCTTCAGGCTCATCCTTTATTCATTTGCTATGGGCTGAAGAATCACTTTAACACACTATACGTTACAAATTTGCTGCTGTAGTATCTAATCAGAAAAGTAAATAAACAATATATACAACTGATATACAGTGCTATGCTCAATTGAATTTAGTGGTTCTTTTTTTTTGAACTCTCCTTACACAAATGGGTTCACTCACCTCCTTTTTACAGAAGCTGGTGGTTGCCAGGGTAGGTGGTGTATCCCTTTTCACAGTGGTTTTCAATTTCAGCGCCTAATACAAACAGGTATTTTAATTAAATTAAGCTTTTGTCACTAATATATAACCTAAAGCCTAAGAAGAAAGGACAACTTAGGATGACAAAGTAGTTTACAGCTTGGAATTGCTATTACAGTTATTAAGAAAGAAGGGGAATTATCTATACCCTGAAGAAAGACTGCACTGATCACTATGGAGCTGCAGCCAAAGCCTACATAGCTTATAAAAAAAAAGGAAGCTCAAAATATGAAGTGTCTAACATAGTAATCAACAGAACGACAGCATGAAATCATAGAACGGCTTGCGTTGGAAGGGACCTCAAAGATCATCCAGTTCCAACCACCCTGCCATAGGCAGGAACACCACTCACTAGATCAGGTTGCTCAGGGCCTTGTCCAATCTGGTCTTGAACCAAGGATGAGGCATTCACAACCTCTCTGGGCAACCTGTTCCAGTGCCTCGCCACCCTCCAAGTGAAGTATTTCCTCCTAACCTCTAATCTAAATCTCACCTCTTTTAGTTTAAAGCCATTCCCCCTTATCCTGTCTTTATCTGATTAAGAATAGTTGTTCCCCATCTTTTTTTTTATGTCCCCTTTAAGTACTGCAAGGTTGCAATGGGGTCACCCCGAAGCCTTCTCTTCTGTAGGTTGAAAAGCCCCAGCTCTCTTAGCCTTTCTTCATAGAAGTGTTCCATCCCCTTGAGCACTTTTGTAGCCCCCCTCTGGACCTGCTCTTAAAAGATAAACATCCTTCTTGTTCTGGGGGGCCCAGATCTGGACACACGACTTCAAGTGGGGCCTTAGAAGGGCAGAATAGAGGGAGACAATCCCCTCCCTTAACCTGCTGGCCATTCCTCTGTTGATGCAGCCCAGGATTCAG